ACAATATATGCATTCTTGTTCATCAGCAGGGAAAGTCTTGAAGACTAGACAACTTTTTAACAGTGACTCAGGTTGGGGGAAGTTGACAAGGTCTTTCATTTTTACTCTTTCCTTTTATACAATACTTGAAAAATTTGAACAATAAGCATATATGTTTCATTTAATAAAAGAAGTTAATACAAAAATAGTTAGGACTGCTTTTTATTAGGAGCTTATTAAATTCTAAATGTTTTAGAGCACTTTCCTACTCCTACAAGAAAACCCGATGCTCTTTATAGGGCTGATCTTGGGCTTCGCTTTACATTTCTCTGAAGTCTCAGGAGCTGTAAGAAGTAGCTGTAACTAGGAACTTATTACCATAGAGATGGTTCAACAGCTTAATATTTTTAAAATTGTGGAGTAAATAGCATATTTTGAAGAGAGGCAGAATACTAGAACTCTAGAGAAAAAGTCTAAATATTGGGTCGTCGGGAAAGTCATAACACATTTTTGCATTGAAAAACATAGAAATATACATCATGACTTTCCTGATGACCCAATAAATATCTTACAAAAACCGTCTAGGTGTTGACAAAAATAGTCACCATGTGAAAGCTGTCCACACTTTGCCCTGCCACCCACACCAGAGCCTCTGGGCATCGATCATATAACTCCACCCTCCTTTGCTTTTCCAGAATAGAAAGGGCAAAAGCTGTAAGGGTGAAATGGCAATAAAATTAATCATAGCAGAGGAAAATACACCCTCTTAGAGGCTGTTTCTGGGGAATTTCTTGGGGGATGTGAAATAGGGGTATCCATACAAGATGGTACAACAAGAGGCAGAGAGGCAAATAGAGGCACAAAATGTAAGCAAAGGGATGATGTCAATGAGAGAGAAAGAGTAATGTGTGGACTTAAAGGAATCTGGGAGACAGTTTGATTAAAAGGCTTGGAAATTCAGGGCTGGCTTCCTGGGCGTGTGGTCCATGCAGTCACGCAGGGCCTTGTGCTTACAAGGGCCCATGCTTGGTTTCATGCTCTGCTGTGACCATTTTGAAAGTCTTAAATCATTTTTGAATAAGGGGCCCCACACTTTCATTTTGTACTAGGTCCCACAAATTATGTAGCTAGTTCTGATTGGCACTTTGAGAGGTAGAGGATAGTGACCTGAGGAGCTGGGACACTTGGCTCCATGCTGTAAGTGGAGATAACAGGTGGTGTCAGAGTTCTGCCAGTGGCGATGGGGTGGCAGTTCAGCCACTTCCCTGGTGCTGTAAAGTGCCACCAGACATTGGTCGAAGTGATGAAGAACAACCCAAATTGGGAGGAAGATATGCTAGCTTGAAGGAAATTCTTTGTTAGGAAGAATTAGGTTTACTACATAACAATACTATTGTAAGAATATGTAACAGGAATGTTCAACCATCATAATGTTTTCAGACAAGTGTTATTAGAAGGTATTTATTGCTGTCAAATTATTATTCATAATCCTCTGAAATGTGAGTCTAAAAATGGCATTACTTGAGAGGGGCTGATAGTACTTTCAAACCTGTATCTAATTAACTCTTTTTTGGTAAAAGACACTGAAAAGCCAAACCGTGGGTATCTTTGAATTGTAAATGTGGATTCCTAAGGTGCAGGTGGAGGATATCTTGACAGGCACAGGAGGAGGAGGTCATATCCTTGTTGATTATGCAGTGAGCTATCTAAAAGATACGAGAGTAGAGTAGAAATTACTTCTTTATGAATTTCCTAAAAGAAATTGGATCCAGGCCTAAAATTCTAAAAGGTTATTGAACTTTCCTACTCTGATCCTCACCTTATCAATCATTGTCCCCAAGCTTGCAGGTACTGTGGATAGGGGCACAGGTCATACCATCAGGGCTGATCGTAGTGACTCTTTGTTATAGTTACACGTGATGTGGAGCATCAGATAGGTGAAGATCTTAGTTCAAAATTGAAACTGTTCTCTCAAACTTCATATGTTGACATTGCCCAAGTGCTTTTGTTCATTCCAATACCGATACCTGCTCATATCTTCCTCTACATGGAACTTACACTGTGGTTGTGCAGTGTACTTATTATATGTTCTTATTGTATGTTCCTATGCATTGTGCTTATTGTATGAGTCTTTCTGGTAATAGAGAAAGATACAAATATTCTTCAATGACTATGTATTATGATTAGGAACCACAACTTATTTATTTATTTATTTATTTATTTATTTTTATTTTTGGTGAAGTATCAGTTCAAATCTTTTACCTAATTTTTCAAATTGGATTGTCTTCTAATTACTAATTTTAAAGATAATTAAATAATAATAAAAACATAAGTATATTCACATAGTCCCCATTTCTGTGCTGTTCATCTGTTTGGTGTTAGTTTGTTTGCATTTTTCCCACAGCTCACTGATGCCTGTTCATTTATTTAAGTCATTTTTCTCTTGGTGTTTCATTTTGTATAACTGATATCACTTTAACTGATGTCTTTAAATTCAACAATCTTGTCTTCTGCAATATCTAGTCTGTCGTTAATCCTATCCAGTAGTATATTTTTCATACCAGCCTTTACATTTCTCATCTCTAGAAGTAAAATTGGAGCCTATTTAATATCTTTCATATTTCTACTTACAATGTTCAGTAGCTCCCCTGCCTTTTCAAACATATGGAATATAGTTAAAATAACAGTTTTAACACTCAGATTTGCTACTTCAAATAGGTATATCACTTCTGAGTTGGTTTCCTCTGATCACGTTCCTCCTCCTTGTGGGTCCTACTTTCGTACTTTTTTGTATATCTGGTAGTTTTTTCTTGGATAGTACGCATACCGTGTTTCCCCCAAAATAAGACCAGGTCTTATATTAATTGTTGCACCAACAATCTACATTTATTCATTTATTCATGTACAAACATCTACATTTATTCAAACAGTCATGTCTTGCAGACGATCTTAACTGGAGCTTGCTTATGTTTAGGGCAGGGCTTATATTACAGGCATCCTGAAAAATCATGCTAGGGCTTATTTTCCAGTTAGGTCTTATTTTCAGGTAAACATGGTAGTAAAATTTGCCTTGTTAGGTACTGAATAGTTTTGTATTTCTGTAAATAATCCTGAGCTCTGTTTTGGGTCAGTTTATTTAGAAATAGTTTGATCCTTTCTGAACTTGAATTTAAAATTTTCTTTAGGAGGAAGGAGAGCCATGTTTAGGGCCAATATTTTCCCATCATGGAGGCAAAACACATCTGGTACACTACCCAATGCTCCATCAATTATGAGGATCCCAGCCTGGCTGGTGGAAACAGGCGCTATTTCTGGCAATTTATGAGCTCTGATTCCTCTTCCTTTTCAGGAAGTTCTTTCTCTGACCTTGGGTAGTTTCCTAGAATGTATGTACTGATGATGACTCTGCTGAGTACTTGAGGGGAAGAGCTGAAGATCTGTGCTGTTCTCTCTCTGGGAAGTTCTGCGCTCTCTGCTCCTCTGCCCTGTGCATCCTAGCCAACTTGGTCTCTCTGAACCTTCTGTTCAGTCTCCATGAGTAGCCCTGGTAGATTGGGGTTCTCCTCTCTGTGCTGTAGCTTGGGAACTCCCTCAAGGCAGTAGGCTGGAGCAACAGCAACTGCAGGGCTGCCTTGTTTTCTTCCCAGCTCTCAGAGGTCATACTTTGTGTTTATTTAGTTGATTCAGGTAAATACAGTCCCTGTTATTCAAAAGTGGAAGTCCTCCAATGAATGGCTTTTAATCCAGCCAATAGGTAGATACGTTGGTATGACAGTACTTCTGGTGGTAGCATTGATTTGTGCTTCATTTTGAGAGGACAGTCTGTTCTACACATCCAAAAATTGTCAAAAACATGTATCTTACAACTAAAACATTTTTTACTGATAGGTATTTTACAAACATTTTACTGATAGGCATTTAACATACTAATAGGTCTTTTTCTTTTTACTAATTCTATTAATAGGTGTTTGACATTAATGTAGCATATGATAGAAATATGAAAAAAACTTATACAAGAGCTGAATAATTTTCAGGGTCCAGTGCAAAATGAATACGTGGGATTCTACAAAAGTTATTAAAAATTCAAGAGCGGAACAGCAGGTCTTTAAACCAAGTGAGGATGAGTCTAAGCACAACTGCATAGACCATACCATGAAGCCAGCCCTAATTTATACATATAATATTGATGAGTTCTAAATATAAATAGTAAATGAAAAATAAGAGCAAAATAAGTTTCTGGAAGTTTTGATTTAGCATATTATGAATCATCTATAAAATACAGTATTATGCAACCATTAAAACTTTTGTTAGAAGATGCTTTAATTATAACAGTTAACTTACAAGACAGCATGTCGTATAATGCCTAGTTGTCTTATGCAACTAGTGTGAAAGCTATGTATGAGAGTGTTGATAGATGAAGTTAGAAAGACTGTGAAGGGTCTTGCCTGTGTTGGATTAAATAAAATGGTGAAACTTTATTCTTTTGGCAATGACAAACTATGCATGTTTTACAGCAAAAGGGCCATATGATCATGTCTGTGTTTTAGAAAGATAATTCTGATAAATGGCGCAAGATTTTCTAATAATACTATCTATAAATGAGGAGGACCCAAGTAGTGAATTTTTTTTCTCTTTTTAATATCTGCCCCTTTTTTCTTATTTTTTTTGTTTCCCTGTCCATGGACTCAATTTTCCCGTAAATCTTACAAATGTTGTAGGTTAGTTAGGAAACGTGAATACATTCTTTCCCAGGCTAGCTCCATCTCTGAATTTCTAGAATTGGCACTGAAGTTTTCTATCCGTGGAAACTTGGAATAAACCTTACCATAGTTTATTATAATATTACATTTCCTTTTATTCCTTTCTTTTAGTGTGCTCGGTATGATAATGCCTTCATTGCAGAGATTCTGATTGACAGAGGCGTCAATGTCAACCACCAGGATGAAGATTTTTGGACACCAATGCACATTGCCTGTGCATGTGACAACCCTGATATTGTCCTGCTCCTTGTATTAGTAAGTAAAGCAATTCAGTTTATTACCATCTGAAGATTTGATGGCATGTAAAAGGCTACATAATTATCTAATAATGTTTCACAACATGTAATACTTTAGTTGAGAAAAAATGTGTGGAAAC